TATGTCTCTCTTGGGTGATATGTGGGGACTGTGGAGAGTAGTCCCTTTGTCATATAATGACCTCCAATGGTTAGCCTATTTTACATCTGGTTATCTATAGCTCCCCAATCTAGCAATGCCATTTGTTGTAGGGATATCTCAGAGACATCCTGGCTCCTAGACGGGGGAGACTGTAAATTCCTGGGTGGGCCTCAACACCTCTATTTTAATTACAAAGGTAGAGGCAGTTGCCCATCAAGTAAGGGGGTTTCTGGGTCGTTTAGACAAAGGGTCAACAAGAAGGTGTGGTTTACATGGTTGACTACTTAAGTCCATCGTTTTGTAAGCTTAGTTAGACTTGCTTGGTACAAAAACACACGCTTTAAACTTCTTTTTCCTTGACAAGTCTCCAATCCTGTTCTTCAAGAAACCAACATTTTTGCCAGCAGAGGTCAACAGATGAAATACTGAAACCTCTTATTGATGATTTAAAAATTTGACTGCAGACTGCAGGTCACTTAGCAATGAAGTCTCGCCTAGCTAGTAGCGAACAAAAAGGCACAGATTTAAGACGAACATTTGGAGATGAATGGACTTCTTCGCATTTATAAGCAGCGCAGTTGGTTTCCTGGTACGTTAAATCTGCAACGAGAGACTGTCAAACACTAGAAGTCGCAAAGATGAAGTCGCTACTCTTTCTAATTCTCCCGTTCCACCTTAAACGGTGTCGCATTTACATTCGGTGTCTCAGGCAGAATGTTGTGGCTCCCAAGGTGGTTTGATTTTTGTTGAAAGGACAAAATGTCTCTTCTTATCATTTGTGTTGTGACTCCTGACCTGACCTGGCTTTTAATGCAGAGCGAGCCGGTCGGATTTCTCGCTCATTCAGTAGTGTTTTTGTTATGTGCCGCCACAGACTGTCCGGGCGCTGCACTTCCCCACTTCCAAGTTCCCCTTTTTGCGTTCCATCAACATTATGCTAGAAATTAAATATTTAGAAAATCGTTTTTTGACATTTGTGAATCGATTCAGAATCGTTCACGTCCGCATCGCAATGCATCTAAGAATTTTTTTTCCCGCACCCCTAATATATATATACATGTATATGTATATATATATATATATATATATATATGTGTATATATACAATTTTAAAGTGCTGAAATTAACTCTGACAGAGTTATTTGAAGTTTGCTGATTTTGCTGCATGTTGTGGTTTTCGGCCTTTTCTCTGGTTTTCTACGATTTCCCTGAATTTTATGCACTGTAGAGGTTGAAATATGTGCAATCACTGGCTGAGGAACATTATTTTAAAACCACTGGATTTTTTGCTGGTGCATATTTGACAAAGTGACCTTGATCCATCCTCACTCATAAAGGCCTTTCCTAAATTCTCTTTTTATGTGCATACATGATTACATCACCTGTTTCTTGCATTTCTTGCAATCACTGGCTGAGGAATATTATTTTTAAACTATTGGATTTCTGTTGATTTTTTTTGCCAAAGTGGCCAGTCTTGACTCATCTTCATTACCTTTGCCTACCGAGGTTACTAAAGCTTGTAGTTCACTTCAGTTTTGTTTTTTTCATTTTCTTAGAATGGTAGACATACAGGTACACAGCAAACTGTAGGATGTATGTTTTCTCAACAATGGTAAAAATCTGTAAAATTACAGTGAACTAATTTCTTAAAAATACCACATTTTACTGCAATTGAAGTTTCAGTTGTTCCATTGTAAGAAAATGGAAAAAACAAAACTGAAATGCAATGAACTGGACATTTTTCATCTCATTCGTCACAGTCCCTGATGTTTAATGGGGCACTGTTCCTCAGTTTCATTTTTATCAGTAGCATGCTTTACTGGTGCATTCTCCTATTAAACTGCCATGGTTGAGAGTCAGTGGAATACAAATATTAGGAACTCATATTCAGAATACACACTACAGTATTTGTATTTAGTCCACTTAAAATTTTTAAAAGCAGTGCTCAAAATATTGTTAATTTTTACAATTTTATTATAATACTTTCTCACTGGATTAATGTGCAGGAAAGGGCTCATTAGACGGACTCTAAAGAGGAATTAAAAAAATGATTTCTTGCAAAGACTGATGTACATCCTATCAACAAATGCAAGTTCTACAGAAGTCATAGGTCAACATTAGGGGTGCGGGAAAAAATCAATTCTTAGATGCATCGTGATGCAGACGTGAACGATTCTGAATCAATTCACAAATGTCAAAAATCGATTTACTAAATATTTCATTTCTAACGTAATGTGGGCGGAACGCAAAGGGCGGAACAGTCTGTGGCAGCACATAACAAAAACACTACTGGATGAGTGAGAAATCTGACCGGCAACCTCTGAATTAAAAGCCAGGTTAGGTCAGGAGTCACAACACAAATGAGACATTTTGACCTTTCAACAAAAATCAAACCAGATTGGGAGCCACAACTTTTAATGTCCAGCATGTCTCAGTATGTGTTAATGTCCTAGTATAGGCTAAACAATATAAACGAAAACACTGACTTACTTTGCTCTGCTTTAAGCTTTAGCTTTAGCCGCTTTCCTCCAACTCTGCCAGAAAAAGTTTCCTCAAAAGTTGAATAGTTTCTTGTAAAATGTCTTTCAGTTTTCGGTAGTTTTACGAGGCTGAAGTCGCTTCTCATTCTCCAGCTTCTTGCTGAACTTTCCGGTTTCACCTTAAATTCTGACTGAGACGCCGAATGTAATTGCGGCACCATTTAAGGTGGAACAGGAAAATTAGAAAGAGTAGCGACTTCATCTTCGCAACTTTTTAGTGTTTGACAGTCTCTAGTTGCAGATTTAACGTACCAGGAAACCAACTGTGCTGCTTATAAATGTATATATATATACATATACTCAGACATAGAATTGGATGGCAGCTGTCGTGGGAGTTACTTAGACAAGAGTGAGAATCTCATCCTTCAATGAATCATAATCTGTGGCTTCCTGGGCCTGCTTATTGTAATAGGCTTGCTGAGCATCAGCCATGAGAATCATTCTACCAGCATTCAGCCCCTGCCATACAGTCAAATAGTTTCAAATAAGCCTCCGCATCATGAGTAGTAGTCAGCTTTGTTGAGTCCCTTTGCAGCCTGCCTCTAGACCTTGGCATGATGTGTCTGAACCAGGTCTTCCACAAGCAATGCAACGTATGACAAAGTATGTAAATGAACAAAAACAAAGGTGTCTCAATAGTTGTTTCCCCCTGCTGAATAAAATAGCATATGCATGGGCTTTGGTTGATACAATTTCCAATGTTCCATTCATCCTGCAATATCATATCATCAGGCCATAACTTATTCCTGGCAGCTGTGCAGTCATCATCCTACCAATTCAAACATTTCCACACTATGGTTATACAAAACAATAGCAAGACTTTGTACACTTCAACCGGGATACTAGATTTACATGAAAACAACCAGCACTGCATCACCCTTTAAGCATTGGTCCACTCACCAGAGGCAGGGCTGTAAAGAAGACCACCTTTGTCAAAAGTCAGTAAAACTCTCATCCTTTGCACTAAATCTTACTTAGTAAATAGTGTCAAGTATGTCAGAAAACAGGGATGGATGGACCAGTGGGATGGGGTGGGCAAGGGAGTTGTTTTTTTGATTTCCTGCAGTTCTGTAATGTTGTGATAAAATGCTGCTTGATTAACAGGAAACAAATAAAAAAAATTATCACAAAAAAAGAGTCAATAACACAGATTAATAACTGATCCCATTGATTTATCATTCTACTCAGGCTTTAGCAGAGCTCAGTAACACTGAGATTAATAACTGATCATCACATTGATTTATCAGTCTACTCAGCCTTTAGCAGAGCTCAGTAACACAGATTAATAACTGATCATCACATTGATTTATCAGTCTACTCAGGCTTTAGCAGAGCTCAGTAACACTGAGATTAATAACTGATCATCACATTGATTTATCAGTCTACTCAGGCTTTAGCAGAGCTCAGTAACACTGAGATTAATAACTGATCATCACATTGATTTATCAGTCTACTCAGGCTTTAGCAGAGCTCAGTAACACTGAGATTAATAACTGATCATCACATTGATTTATCAGTCTACTCAGGCTTTAACAGAGTTCAGTAATGTTAATAACTGTTCATCACATTGATTTATCAGTCTACTCAGGCTTTAACAGAGCTCAGTAACACTGAGATTAATAACTGATCATCACATTGATTTATCAGTCTACTCAGGCTTTAGCAGAGCTCAGTAACACTGAGATTAATAACTGATCATCACACTGATTTATCAGTCTACTCAGGCTTTAGCAGAGCTCAGTAACACTGAGATTAATAACTGATCATCACACTGATTTATCAGTCTACTCAGGCTTTAGCAGAGCTCAGTAATGTTAATAACTGATCATCACATTGGTTTATATTCAGGCTTTAGTAGAAGCTTCATGTTTGTTAAAAATTCCTGGAAACCCAGAGCATTCCCATTATAGTAGATGTTTAACAAACACTTAAACAACACAAAGCCATCAATGGAACAAATTATGTGACTCTTTTGATTTAGTAACTATAAGCACCTTAATAGGCAATGATTCAACCTCTCTTTCTGTAGCTGCTGATCAGCCCTGTGAAATGGAATGAATTACTCAGGCCCATTTCTTCATTCATAAAGCACTGTTACAGCACCTTACTCAGAGAATCTTATGAGGAAATGATTTTTAAAAATGGTTGTTTAGAATGCTTCCTTTTTAATTAAGACAAGCTTGGCGATCACATATAAAATGTTACAGTAGATCAGAACCTTTCTCTTCAAAAAAGTGTCACGAGAGTGCATGTTTATCAGAGAATTAAATATCAGGTTGAAACACAAGAAGGAAAATGTGCACCATGAAGGAAACAAAATGTTTGCAAAGAATGATCACGTTTCAATCAATTTTTCCTCCAACAATAAGAGCTGGGTGGGATCTGGAGTTTGTGAGGGTGTGGGGCTGTAGTATAAAACTACAGCACTTTCCCCACAGCAGTACATCTAATCTCCAAATCACAAGACCTACATCAAGAACTATCTGCAGGTATGAAAACGTTTATTCTACTTTACTTTTATTGTTATTTAAAGATTATATTTGCATTTACTTACATCAGATTTTTCTTTTAGAACCTGAAGAAGAGCCATTATGGTCCACATGACTGAAATGTCATTGCTTTTTGTTCTCTTCATGGCTTCGTCAGCTTTTGGTAAGAGTTTCATCCCTCTTACCATCACTGTAACACTGACACTGCTGATTGAAATACCAAATATAATTTAAAAAAATACTATTCACTTACAGCTTACTGTGTAAAATATACTGTACAGTGTACTCTGTAGAACAGATCACTTTAAATGATTTTTCTTCTTGATTTAGGTCAGGTGAATAAACCTGGATCAGGTAGTGACAGCAATTCAGCTCTTTTATTATAACCTCTTATTCTTCGTTAGTAGTTTCATTAAATGTAAAGAGATTCCCAGGTTAACTGTATGAATCAAAGAAAATCAAAGTAAACTGAAATTATCATCATTATCATAATCATTTGTTGATGATTACAGTAATGTCCTAAAATTCATTCATTCTCTTAAATAGGACAAACCAATGAGACACAAAATCGGGTAGCTACAAAGCAGTTTGATTCACAGTGTCCATGCAGTTGGGTGGGCTTAAATGGACGCTGCTTCATCTACTTTTCCCAATCTTTGGACTGGGCCTCTGCTGAGGTAAAGTTTGATCTCTTACGTTGAACCTGAATAAAGGCTTTAAGGAGGCATTCAGACTTTTTTAAACTCTCTGAAGTGTGCTTCTATTCATTGTTGTCTATAAAGCAATGCACACCATGCATTGTGTATTAAGCTGTGCATTTCTATTGAAAAATATCAGGTTTTCAACTGGATGGCACAAAAAGTGCCACACGTCATCACAGCTGATAAGTCAATACAGTTATAAGCAAAGGTTTGAACACCCCTGGTCAAATGACGAGTTTTTCTTGATTTCCACACTTAAATATTGTTTTGCTAATTTTAGTATACAATTACTTTTTATTTACTGAGTTTAACATGTTGGGAAAATAAGAACATGCAGCATGGGATGTGCATATTTTATACTTCATTGTTTTTATTTCGACTTGTTAAATTAAGCAAATAAACAGTAAATATGCATTAAAATATTCAGAAATGTGTTCTACGGGAGTAACTTAGGAGGTACCTTAACTGTTGGGGAAGGTGCCTGTCAGGCCTCGTACATTGGGTGTAGTGCTACACAGGCGGCCAGCCCAGGCAGCCCCGTAGCTACAGTGTAACATAACTCTACTGGCTGTCCCAGGAAGCCTCATACCTCAGAAATAGTCCTTAGCAGCAGAGAAAGGTTCCTCCCAGCCTGCGAGGCCTCACTGCAGGAGTGTAGCATCATAAAATCAGGTGTGCTTCAGCTTGTTTCAAATGAACACCTGCAGTAACACTGGACCCCAACCCCCACTCCCTGGTCTACACTCTGATGTAATGTGATTGTGCCATTGTTGTCCAGTGAGCTGGAACTTTAGATTTGACCTCACATACACCAAGTGCATGTTTAACATAACCCTACAGTCTATGGCACAGAGCTGATAGGAAGCCAAGGGTTTCAGTGTTTGGTTTACATTCTGTTGGATGTTATAATGTGTTATGGGTATCCAGCAATTCAGTGATTTTGCTCTCTTTTTTCTTTCTTTGTCTTTCTAGACTCATTGTATGAATATGGGTGCTCACTTGATCTCATTACACAGTGATAATGAATATCAGCTGATGAAGTCTCTCATTCTTCCTGGCAGTCCTACATGGCTTGGTCTCAACAACTGTATGAAGGTATATAAAGTCTGGAGACAAAAAATAACTGCAACTCTGACTGTAACATTAGTGACTGAAGATACAGTAACGTCAGTTACACAGGTCATTCACAGGTGGTTGTAATGTAAATGTTTGACAACACAACCAATGTTACCAACATATTAATAGTTGTGTAACAGTGCTAAAATGAGGTAAAATTAAAAAAAAACGAAACAAAAAAACAAGGCCTATTTCTGACCCAATACGTATGTATTTATCTTAACAGAGGGACAGCTACTTCTGGTCTGATGGGAGCAAATATGACTACAGCAAGTGGAATAAAGATGAACCCAATAATTTGCCTGGAGAGTGCTGTGTGCACGTGACCTCGATTGGTAATTTCCTGTTACTCCAGTCTGTGTTTATGACTAACTTTTCTAATCTCGGAAAATCTTTTCATAATTCTTAATTTCTCAATTCTTCTTTCTGTTTGATTACAGGTCAGATGGACTGGAATGATATTCCATGTAGTAGGGTTTATCCCTTCGTCTGCAGCAAGAAGATGGCATGAAACTCTGAAAGCCAAGAAAAACATTTTTAAAATGTCAAATACTGTTGATATACAGTTTACATTGATACAAACACACTCATATGATCATAAATAAAGCATTAAAAAACATTAAAAATAAAGTTATGTTTTATTTCAGATATGACATTTCATAGTACATTGCTTAATTTCAAAATCTATTCTAAATATTAAAATACATTAAAGTACTTTTTTCTTGCAAAATTCTTCCCACAATATTTCTCTATAATTCAGTGGTTGTAATGCAAACAATGTCATTCAGAGTGGTCTGATGTGAAATGGTTCACTGTAGAGAAACTTACTGACTGATTTCTTTACAGTGGTGCTGATAGAACCACATAAATATAGCCAGTTTATATGCAGTGCTGATTAAGATTAAATAGTGGTAAATATAAAAAACATGTTGCATTTGAATTAAAATACATTTTGGGCCAAAATCTCAGTAATGTCATAAAACAATCTCCAGGCATCAGGTAGCCTGTTAACTTACATTTCATCTAAAGATTTTCTGTGAGGGAGATTTTATAGACATTAAACTCTTCAGATGTCTGTTTCCTATCAACATCACTATGAACAATTCTGACTCTGTTTCTGAGTTCTCTTTGAATACTCTTTGAACACACCCACATACCACTCACTATAATCAGAATCAAAAGAAAAAACAATGTTACAAATTATTCTTCCAATTCTTCCACATGTTGCATGCAATGACACATTTCCATCAGAGTGGTCTCCAAATCCCCAAATCTTACATCTGCAGCTTTAACCATTTAATTCTTCAGAAATGTTGAATAATTTGTGGATTTTTAAACATTCAATACATCAATATATATTCAAATGTTGTATATTTCTTTTCTATATGAGAAATATACCTGCGTATAGGTAAGTAAATTCTCAAATGGAAAATTTGAAATAATATAGTTTCATTTAAAACTATACATCGGCTGACCACTTCAGAGTGTAAAGTCTGTTTAAAGTGACTTTGGAGTGATGATAATTATTATTAATGTTGTTGAACTGCGGCTTGTGGAGACCAAGATCTGGGTTCCATTTGGTCTTTGTGACTCTTCTGGCATTTTTCAACATTGAATCAAAGAAAAAAAAATAACCATTCAAAAACCCATCTATCTCAGGAACAATGTTTCCAAGGTTTCTTTGCTGACAATACCTTACATAAGTGTCAGGGTTGAGTTTTAGCATAATATTAGCAAATACGCAAAATCTGCGTAACTAACATAATCCATGCTAATTGCATGAGGATATTGAAGACATTGTAATAATTATAACGAATATATATATATATATATATATATATATATATATATATATATATATATATATATATATATATATCAATGATTGATTTACTTTTAGTCTTTAATTTTAATTTTTAAAACAGGGTTAAAATTCAATGTCAATATTAAAATATCATTGAAAATAAAGAGCATAAAATACTTTCCTTCTTCCCATGAGCTTCATGCACCCAGACTCTTTTACTACAATTATGTATTATGTTACTGACCTGCTGCCAATTAACCTAATTAGTTGTGAGAGGTGTCAACAGTTGTTTTTTCAGTATTACACAACTTTGCCAGTCTTTTGTTGCCCCGTCCCAAATCTTTGCTGGCATCAAATTCAAAATGGTAATATATTTTTCAAATATCAAGAAAATATCTCAGCATTTGATATGTTGTCTTTGTACTATTATCAATTAAATGTAGAGTTTAATTGCTTTGCACATCATTGTGTTCTGTTTTTATGTACATTTTGCACAGCATCCCACTGTTTTTGGAAACAGGGTTATAACAATAACAACAACAGCATTAATAGAAGCAACAATTAAAATGCAATTAGAAAGTTAAAGTTAAAAATAAGATTAAAAATAGCTTTATAATAATAGGCAATGCTTCTTGTAGAAGAAAAATAGAATAGCTATTAGCTATTCCAGTGCATTTATAGGCTCCATCTGCAAATACATATTAACATTAACAAACATGTTATAGAAATAAAATGAAACACTATTAAGAGTTTGTAATACGCGACCCAACACTTTTGAACAGCGTGCATTAGTGGCTCTGTGGGATAGACGTGTATGATGCCCCACTTTGGTAGATAAATACACCAACCTGGGTTCATAACCTGAGCCGTGATGTCTTCTTTTTGTGTAAGGATAAACGAGTGAAGAGGGAAAAGGCAGCTACAGAGAGGTGGTCTAGCTCACTAGCTTTTGGTTAGGCTGGATTAGCTTTAGCTCACCAAATTGACTCTGACACAGTGTGTGGGCGGGGCAAGAGATGTCAGCCTGATTGGTTAAGAAATGCTTACAGAGGCGTTATCCAAGATTAGGACCACCAAATTTACATTGAGAGGAGAGAAATATGGTTAAATACAGTAAGTATTTATTAGACTTTGGGAAGGTTATTCTTAAGACATGTACATGTATATTTTGAGCCCAGAGGAACAAGATTAACTTAATCAGAAAATAAACTCAGATTAAGGGTCCCTGGGGCATTAAGTGTACTTAATTTATCATTTTTATTATTTTATTTTATTTCCATGTTTATTTTCAGCTAAAACATGACTAAATCAGGTGGTAGTGTTACATTGGTTTTATTTCATTATCCTCTCTCTCTGCTTGTTTTCTTTTTCTCTCTCTTCTTGGTTTTCACTGATAACTCATAAAAGCATATACTATATATATATATTAAGATTAAAGTAATAAAGTCCCTGCATAAAACTGTATTTTACAGTTACACAAGTTCAGGCACAGGGCTTTACAGGCACAATGGCATACTTCCTGATTAATTATCACTATTAAATATAATTTAAAACATGGTATGAGATGTTTGAAGATCTTTATTTTCACTCATAATACAGAATTTGAAATGCTGATCAAGTGTGTTACATAATAGTACTAATAATGTAACAACCATGTAATATTATAGTTATAGTAACAGTAACATAACAGTGCCAACACATAACTGCATTTTATAGCAACATAAATTCAAGCACAATTTGCTCTGCATATCTACTGATTGATAGCTTTTATGTCAGTTTTCTTATATTTTTGGCATTTGGCAATCGTTCTTATCCAGAGCGACTTACAATTTGATCATTTTTTACACAGGTAGGCGAAGGTAGTGTTAGGAGTCTTGCCAAAGGACTCTAATTGGTATAGTGTAGGGTGCTTCCCCAGGCAGAGATTGAACCCCATTCTACAGCATGAAAGGCAGATGTGTTACCCACTACACTATACCAACCACAACTCCTGGGCCATTTATTAATGACAAAGAAAAACAGGCATCAACTTTTCACTTTCATAAAGTCTTGTGGAATCTGTTTTATATTATTCTACTTTATGTTCTGACATGTGAGGGAATTCTTTGGTTTTGAAGGTAATATGTACAAGAACTGCTGGCCTTTACAATGCATGGTTGAAGCACAGCAAATAAAGCATTTAAAAAAACAAATATTCAGACATATTTCTAAGGATTAGATCATGATCTATTTAAACCCAAGGCATTAATTGAGATAGTAATAAGCTAAATATATACACACTCATCATTTATAGGGCACATTCTATTAGGAGAAGTCTGTCCCAAACCCTAATCCCTTAATTTACACTTGTGGAAATAATACTTACATTTTCACACATACATGTGTTTTTTAAGCTCTTTTTGATTGAAGTTGAGAAATTTAGATTTAAATGTAAGTTTAATTCATAAAAAAAAGCTTTTGAGAAAAAAATGCTGTCCCACATTTTCATGTCAATATCAAAACACAAAGCATTTTAGTCTATGGGCGGAGCCTTATTTTAGCCACACCCCTGCATTTTAGAGCTGGTAGTCAGACTGCATACCTGAAAAGTCTGAAAATCAGGGTGTAATATTAAGAATTGTCACTTCTGAAACACATATTTTCTGCAATTAAGTAAAGTGTGTTTGTTAGTCATGCACTGGCCAGTGTTTTTGAGTTCTGCTCACTTTTATTTATTTATTTTTTTGTTTGTTTGTTTTGTCCAAACCATTTTTACCAGCACTTTTTTTCTTTGTGTTTACATGGACAGCTGCACTAACGACCCAAGTCTTTAGTTTGTTACATTAAATTAAACTATCACTGTGAGACTCTTTGTTTGTTTGGCTTTAGGTCCTGTTGTGCTGTTTGCTGTGAAGAAAAATAAAAGATTAACCATTATTTACACCCAGAAACAAAAGCAAGTGTGAGTGTAATCTGTAGCGTCCATAAACCTGCGTGACACACGATAACACATATGGGAGTCATAATCCAGCACAACACCGGCAAAGTCCAATTTAGCTTGAACTTGAGCCCATCAGCAGCTGATCTGGTGAGCACTGACATCCTACATGAAATAGAAGTCCAATATGGGAGACCCCTCATTATTTCTTTTTTTTTGCAGAAAGAGCAAATCTATGCATGTCAAATGTACAAATACCTATACAAAACCTAATACGCCAGAAAAAATAAGCCTGATTTCTGGGATTTCTGAGTTTCTGTCACCACACTTGAGCTCTGCACATTTATTTCCAATTAAAGTGACTGTCTTTGCCAAGCAACCATAAACCACTGAATACGGAGAATGTTCGGTTGCTCATATTACGGTCATTTCATGATTTTTATATAACAGTGAACATATGATAACATAGCAAATGCAATTTAATGCAAAACATTTCACTTTGTAAGTACTTTTAGTCACCAAATTACCACCGCGAGTCTTATTTAGCACCAATCCAGCGGTGCTCTCTTCTCATGTTGGGGCTGAATCTCAAATGGCTCCCTACACCCTACATAGTGCACTACGTAGGAATTTAAATACTGGATCCTGCAGCCCAACAGTGCAAAATATAGCTAAAAAATAGTCATTTGGGATTCAGACACATGGATATTTAATAAATAACGTACTACTTGGCTGTAGAGGCTAGAAATTCTAAAACTTTCATAGCACCCTATTTAGATAATATAGAGCCGTTTGGGATTCAGCCTGGTTTTGACGCTACTTCTGACTGAAACATGAACATTTAAAGCATGTAATTCATTCAAATGACATTTTCAGACTTTTACACTGCTGTTTTACAGTGAATCATATTGTAAGTACTTTGATTCAAGCCTGTTATTTTTTTTTTATTATTGTGTGTGTTGTGGCACAATAATATACAATTCAGTTGTTGTGAGGCGTCATAGGTGTGCGCATATTGTGGATTTTACAATGGCTTCAAATGCGGCTCAGCCAATCAGATTTTAGCACCGGAACTATCCGTTTTATAAAACATGTTCTCTGTCAATCTGAGGAATATTTCACCATGCAAAGAGCCCTCTAAGTGATTTTATACAGAACTCATGGTTCTAAATAGAATAATTGTCTTTACTAAAGAACCCTTGAAGAACCATTTTTTAAGTCTGTAATGAACTGGAAACACATGCTACTGTAAAGTATGTGGATCCAGTTTCATTAGTAGTTACCTAAGTTAAGACAATTAAGAAAATTTGTCTTTGTTTTGTGTCTTATGTGTATATTTTATGGGTTTAATTTTGTTGTTTTTTTTTGTTTTTTTTTAGTGAAGCGTTTCCCTGTCTGTTTCTGTTTTTGCCAATGTGAGAAGCACTCAATTTCAGTGTTAACATCAACCTGTCCAGATGAAAGTTTGCCATTTGACTAAATCTAGCTCATGTACATTAAACAATAATGATGCTGATTAATGTGTTCTCCCTGTTAATTAAACAAATAAAGTACCACATATTAAGAAATAATATCAGACAGTGGTGCAGATGAAGTTGAGTTCCTGAGTCTCTGGCAGACTGACCCACTGCTTACTTCCAAACTGTACTGCTCCTGTTCTTTCTCCTCCACTGCAGTCTTCCACCCCTGTCCCGCTCCCTGGAGCCCAGTTCTGGTAGCAGATAGTTGATCCACTCACCCAGAACCAGAAGCTCTGAGCGCAGGTGTGACGCAGACCCATCCACACATTAGCAGTGGAGGCCTTTTTAGTAACAAACTCCACCCAGTGCTGGATTTCCATAGTGTGAACTGACACCAGGTCCACATAATTATCTCTGCAGTACCTCAGAGCTTCTCGCCACGTCTTGCTCTGTTTAACCAGGATAAGTGGAATATCTGCAAACACATAATAAAAAAAATAACATTCTTATTTGGCATCATGAAATTATAAAATGTTTGAAAGATGCCTTATATTAGGGGTTTTACAATAAGCATCATGTAGTGTAACTCATTACACCACTAGACATTTTCAATTAAAATCTAATTTGGCAGGCAATGTATGGATTTGAAATATATGATATGTATTAGCATATATGTAATTCCATTATGTCCAATTTGTCATTTTGTACACACATTAACAAAGATTGTTCAGAAGTCTCCTGAAATATATTTAATTTAGAAGTGTTAAAGCTGCCCTTCATAGTCATACAGGTTTTTTAAAAAGTTATGGATGTAGGAAAACGTGTCATGTCTTTGACATCTCATGATCTTACATCATCTCAAACCTAGAGGACTCACTTTGATAGCAGACAAATTTATGTAGCAGGTTGCACTCTATAACAGTCCATCTGTATGCATCTTCACTTCGTAATTCCCCACAGTAATTAGCCTTGACGTCTGGCTGACCAGTATTCCAGTTCCTGTATGAGGTTTGACTTCCATCTGACCAGATCCAGCTCTAGGACAAATTAATACCTAATCAGTAAACAAATACACTGTACTCTCAGTTTTCATCGTACCCAAGAAAATAATATTTAATAGGACTAAATTTGCCAAGTTTGTGGAAAAAATTAACCATCTTTTTACTCATTTTAATGCACAATTATCATTAAATTGCTGAATTTAATATACTAACATGAATATACTGAATTTAAAATAAAATGTGGCACATGCAAAAGTTTGGGTGCCCCTTCCGTTGATATACTAGTGCTAATTTTTTCAAGTCTCAGATCTTATTTGACTCATTAGGCCTTAATCCAAGCCACGTATAGATAATTCTAGAGAAAAATAAATTCTAGGAATCAAAACTCTCTTACACTTAGCTTGGAGCTCATCAAACAGTTCAATGAGATATCTGACTCTTACAAAGCAAAAGAAGACTATAAAATAAAATGCCCACCACAAGTATTGACATCCTGGTAAACATGAGTAGGGCTAGCTACGACCGTGGTCTGTGTAGATTAGCACATACTGGAAGAGTGTAACACTGACAGCTGAGAAAACAGAACTGTGATCTGATGAAACAAAACCTAATATCTTTGCCCACAATCACCACAGGCACACTTTGAGAACACAATAGCAGTATATGATGAAAAGAACACCTTGCCAACTGTTACATATAAGGGAGGGTCTACTAAGCTTTAGGGTTGCAGTCAGTGGCCACACAGGTTACAGTAATGTCCCACAGTCAGTCAAGAAATGAACGGAAAAAGGTTTAATGTAACAGTAAGACAATGATCCATAAAATACATCAAATTCAACATTGAACTATTGAAAGAAACAAAAGATTAAAGTTTTCGAAAGGCCTTCACAGACCCCAGACTTGAATATTTTGAAAATCTGTTGAGAAGATCTCAAACATGTTGTGCATACACAATGATCGATAAAGATTTTGGAACTAGAAGTGTTTTGCCAATAAAAGTGGGGAGTATAGCCTAAATTAAGATTACAAAGTCTACAAGAAATAAGGATATGAGAAACATTTGGAGACTGTGATTTAGGCAAAAGGGGGTATCACTTAATACTGACTGACAGATGTCATATGTATGATTTATTCATTTTTTATGTATCATTTTTTCAATATCATTCATTCAACAAGTAAATGCTAAGTGTGCACTAAATTGTGCAGAAATATGACATTTAGGTTTGTTCCTTGCAGAGATGGTGTTAGCTTCTTTTCAAAATGCTTTTAGGTACCAAAGGACAGAATTAAGCAGAGTTAGTATTTGCACAGTATTCAAAGTCTTGAAAATGTACACAATTGCTTACAGGGGTGTTGTTTTCCACTGTCAGTATCAGACCTATCCAAAAATGGCCTTCTCTCCCACTGATAATGGTTATTACAGTGTCCATTTCCTCTCGGCTCTCAATGGTGGCCAGGTCAGTGAATTTGTCTCTGCAGTATTTCTGAGCCTCGGTCCAGTTCTTACTTTCTTCCACCACATGAAACTGATGAGTACCACACAAGGTGAGAGCCCACTGACCTGTTGTTGAAAATCTCTCAGCATCATGACAGTACAGGAATTAAACAATAGACAAGTTTTGCAGACGACCTTGAACTTACACTGACCTGAAAAAAGGAGGATAACATGCAGTGCCGAATTCATGACTGTGGAACAAGAGAGAGAAGTCAGGCGTTAAATATTAGTATAAACTTCACAAATCTCTGACAACAGGTACTGTAGCTAAATTCAATATGTAATCATCACCTCAATAACACTGACATTCTGCAATACTTCAGCTAATGCTTATTTAAATTATGACTGCATTTCTTCAAGGTAAAATGTGTCTTTCTAAAGCACAACCATGAATTTGCATAGAGAGGCTTGGCCACAGACTGAACTGCCCACTGTGTTCATCTCTGTATGAGACACTGTGCTAATGCTACCCAGATCAACTTTGACTTCTTTAGATGTAACATTACAGGTATGCAGCACACATACTATAGGCTAACACAGAACATAGTTATGATAAAATGTGACATGTGAAAAGTGCAAACCTAAAAATGTGTAAAATGCAAAGCTAGTCCCAGGTTTTTATTTGAAGCACTCATAACATGGGAAGGAAGAAATTAAACATAGCATATCAAATGTGCCATAACTTTTGAACAGGCCGCTTTGTATGTTTTCTTCTTCCAAATATGTTAATTTCAGCAAATAAACAGAACTTTTGCATTAAAATGTGCAGAAGTGTGTTCTCTGTAGTGGACATGTTAACTTATTTTCACTTAGAAAATCATGTAATTTGACCTGAGGTGCCTACACCTTCGTATATGACTGTATTTGTAAACAGCAGATTAAAAATAGAAGAGCATTAGAGCATTTTTTACTTTTAGTCAAAACTCATCAAATCCCACTGTTATGGAAATGACAAAGTTACATTTTAATCAGATTTCCAATAAAAAAACAACTATTTCAGAACTGATAATAACAGTCTGATATAATCATAAGCCATTATTTGGAGTTACAATGACATAAGAAACAAATGACTGTATAGTATTTCCAAAGATGCACATTAAGAACCAGTGCACAATAACATGACCTTGGAGCTTTTAAAGGTGTTTCTTACCTGTTACCTGTTCTTAAGTCTGCTACTCTGTTAGTCTGTCTGTCTCTCCAGTTTACGTCTGTATGGCTAAAGAGAAAATAAAAGCCAGTAGTTGTACTTGTTCTGTGCTTCTCCAGCTTTTTTATGGTCATTTACATGACGTCAGCAGAAAGAAATGCAAATGAAGGCAGAGACACAGCAGACCCATATATTAAAAAAGGCATACATTTTTCAAAACGCAAACATGTATTCAAATGAGTCTGATATTTGAATATCCATCCATCCATCCATCATCTAAACCGCTTATCCTTCTGGGTCGCGGTGGGGTGCTGGAGCCTATCCCAGCTGTCATCGGGCGGAAGGCAGGATACACCCTGGACAGGTCGCCAGTCCATCGCAGGGATATTTGAATATATGTCTGTGAAAAAGTGGCAATAAAATTAAACAACAGTTGTAAAGCCTGAAATAATTTAGAAGTCATAGGTGTTGAGTCGGGAGTTTTTCACACCACATCATATGTCTTTACATATCGACATCACGCACACAGTCTCAAAAAGAAGGTCCAGCTCAATCATCACCATCTTCTTAAACAGCTTGATCCAACTAGGGTCATGGTTGCAATAGAGAAAGCAAAGAAGCCCAGACAGTCCTTTCGCCCTGCAACTTCCTCCAGCTCATTGTGAGTCCGGCTCAATGTTTAGGTCTCAAATACAAAATCAACATTATACTGATGAAGATTTGATGAAAACAGTAGATCATTCACTGACATCTTTGGAAGACACGTCCTTCACCAAGTTTTGACTGAGTTCTCTTTGAATTCTCTTTCAATGCACTCGCAATCATCAGATTCATCCCCTTGGGGAAGGGGTCCGGAGAACAACTCACACTACAAAATGTTCTTCTGAACATCGTGTGCAATTATACCTTTACACCACAGAGGTCTCCAAATCCCAAAGTCATACACAGTGTAGGCCTAATGTTAGCTGTCATTTTGGCAAAGTAAACCACTTCTGTTTTCTTTTTTGGTTTTCTCAACATTTCATACCACACAAATATCTGTCCTGCATGCTGTCAGACACATAATCCATGTTTATACAAATTCAGTTTGATTTTTTCCATTTTCAGTTATCTCTGAATTAACTATTATATTTTTGATTTCTTTACTTATTCATTGATCTGTATGAAAGTGGATGTAAAAGTACTACAAAAACACAATCAATAGCAAAGCAGCACTTTGCCTTCATTTTGCTTGAAATAAATACAGAAACACGTCTTTGAAATATTGTAAAAAAAAAAGTACATCTTAGGATGCTACTCCTTTAGTCATTACTTGATTATTAGATTTTTGACCAGGAGAGGAGGTCATCATGTGCTAAGACAGATTTAAATAAAGAAATGCAGAGGTAAACCATGACTTTTAGAGCTAGGCCTTCAATTTGGACCATAAATTCAAAGCTCAGTCAAATACAAGGAAAAAGATCACCTCTAGAGTAATGCTAATTTCTACTAGCCCCTCTGTAAGATTCTGGTAGTACATTAGTGATAAGATTTACATGTTTTTCCTGTTCTACATTAAATACAGACATTTAAAACTTGTGAAAGATGCTCTATATGTTTCAGCAGTTTTACAGTGATTCAGAAACGAGATCTGCTGCTGCTGACTAAAAAACCTGGTAAGGTTAAAGCTCATATTCACAGTCAAGGAGGTATCTAGAACTTCTAGAAAGCCTAGAGTGAGATTTTGCTGTCCTGAAATTGGTTCCGCTCATTGGAAATCAAAAAATGATAGGTTGATTCCGATGTCACTCTATGTTACTTAATCTGACAGGTTAGGCCTTCAGTTCAGCTCCTGAAGTCCTAACCAATGGAAGAGCTCACTTGGCTGTGTCTACCTGCATATCACAGAGAAAAAAACCTCTGTTGAACAATTTTCTATTGGATGTTTTAAGATTTTAACCTGTTTGTTTCCAAATAAATCTTGATTGAAAAAGTGTATTGCTACAATACTTGAAGAGTTTAAAAACTACATGCATGATTCTGCTAAACAAAAAATGTATTTAATAATACCGACACAAAAATGTACATATACAGAGACAGATTTGAAGAGAAATGGACATAAATACTTCCCAACCACTGCACATGATCAGCGACTACAGAAAGAAAGAAAGAAGAAAGAAAGAAAGAAAGAAGAGGTTCTACTAGTTTCTAGAAATCTAAGAGTTTCTTTTCCGTCAGTAACTGTGAAAGACATTTATCTTTATTTATTGTAACAAATAAAGATCAGATCACATTTTAGGAACTGTTCATGCACAAATGTAGATTTCGAGGGTTCAATTAACATCTACTCAGCTACTTTCAGGTTTAAGGATAATTTTGTGTTGGATCAGAATGTGATTAATTTTTTCACTGTATTGTCATACTTGTCACCCCATGCCATTACTGTGATGACTAAGGGCTTTATTTTGACATTTTCTAGAACAATGTGTTTACCCACTGTGAGAAATGCATGAACACATATTCAGCACCTCAGAGCTTTATGTGCCAGTAAATTAAGGCAGTGAAGTTGTTTTGTTTTTCATTGGTTTCTTTCATCATTCAATTTTTGTTGCATCTTTTTTGCATTTTACATTTGATTTGTCACATACAGCCATATGCAAATGTTTGAGCATTCCGGTCAAATGACATGTTCTGTTGATTTTCTAGGTGAAAATAAGTTAACATCCTCTACAGAGAACACACTTAAATATGACAGTTTTCTGCTAAATCTAGTGAAAAGTGACATAGCTTTTACATAAGCCTCATTTAATTTTTATTATTAATATGTCAATTTCAGTAAATAAACAGTAATTGTGCATTGTGCATGTTAACCTATTTTTGCATAGAAAATCAACAAAACATATCTTCGACCAGAGGCTCCAAAACGTTTGCATATGACTATTCAATGCACTGACTTTTTTTACTCAGGGTCTGGAGAATATGGGGTCAGTGCTGAAGGTGAATTCTCCAGGAACAAAAACCTTAGGAGGAACCAGGATTCTATATTATTATCCAGTGACTGTTATATAATTCAGTGGAATTGCTTCATTACCTTTCCAAACTTGTAAATCATTAAACTTAAACCTACTCACCCAGACGTGACCATCAACTCCCTTTTTATCTTCACTAATGTTTATGGAGCTCTCTTATCAGCTCTTGCAAATTTCACGTTAAGTAATTTACTCCGAGCAGCTTACTTCCGGTGGCACGCACTGGAAGGCAAAAGCTAGGGACTTAGGCCCACCAGATAGGGCCCTTGCACACCCATACTTACCACCAGAGATCATCTTCCCTGGAAAACGAACTGGTTTCCATAGCTGCTAATCATCTTTGCCTGTGGACTGTTGGAACTGTTTTACCTGTCTACTTACACTCAGTGTTTTCTCTGTGATGTGGTGAAGCCTTGCTAGTTGTTCTTGTCTAAAATCCTGAGCCTTCTTACACTGTATTGCCAAAAGTATTTGCCCATCTGCCGTCACACGCATATGAACTTGAGTGACATCCCATTCTTAATCCTTAGGGTTTAATATAATGTCGGCCCACTGGTACACAGCCATGTTGGAACAGGAAGGGGCCATCCCCAAACTGTTCCCACAAAGTTGGGAGCATGAAATTGTCCAAAATCTCTTGGTCTGCTGAGTATTAAGAGTTCCTTTCACTGGAACTAAGGGGCCGAGCCCAACTCCTGAAAAACAACCCCACACCATAATCCCCCATCCACCAAACTTTACACTTGGCACAATGCAGTCAGACAAGTACCGTTCTCCTGGCAACCACCAAAACTAGACTCGTCCATCGGATTGCCAGATGGAGAACCGTGATGCGTCACTCCAGAGAACACGGCTCCACTGCTCTAGAGTCCAGTGGCGGCGCTTTACACCACTGCATTTGATGCTTTGCATTGCGCTTAGTGATGTAAGGCTTGGATGCAGCTGCTCGGCCATGGAAACCCGTTCCATGAAGCTCTCTACGCTGTTCTTGAGCTAATCTGAAGGCCACATGAAGTTTGGAGGTCTGAAGCAATTGACTCTGCAGAAAGTTGGCAACCTCTGCACACTATGCGCCTCAGCATCCGCTGACCCCGCTCTGTCATTTTACGTGGCCGACCACTTCGTGGCTGAGTTGCTGTCGTTCCCAATCACTTCCACTTTGTTATAATACCACTGACAGTTGACTGTGGAATATTTAGTAGAGAGGAAATTTCATGACTGGACTTGTTGCACAGGTGGCGTCCTATCACAGTACCACGCTGGAATTCACTGAGCTCCTGAGAGCGACCCGTTCTTTCACTAATGTTTGTAGAAGCAGTCTGCAGGCCTAGGTGCTTGGTTTTATACACCTGTGGCCATGGAAGTGATTGGAACACCTGAATTCAGTGATTTGGATGGGTGAGTGAATACTTTTGGCAATATAGTGTATCTCCTGGTTTTGCACCTTTTGGTTTTTGACTCCACTTGCCCAAAGGTGCACAATTTAAGCTTTAATGTTTTAGTCCCTAATGGCCATTTTGAATTGAACCTCAAGGATTTCATTGGTTAGTGTTTTCTCTGCTCCAACAAACTCACTTCAACCAAGTTACACTGTAAAAGTAAAACAGTAAAATAAGTAAAATAAATAAATGCTTCATGTGGTAAGAAGGAATTTAACTGTTTTATTCAAATCAACACTTTGGATGAGACAATCCAAAGCAAAATCTTAGTTTAGATGAAACAAAGCAACATTTTACATCAATTTTAACTTCAAAAACACTGAAAGTCAACTTGGGCCCTGTTCTACATTTTTCAGCATAGAGCTGAAAAACAACAAAACATTCATGGAAAGAGCTCTGCCAAATCAGGAACCACTGATGTAGATGATCCATCACGCAGTAACACCACAAATTGATCGTTACTATCTGATTTTCTGGTTATCTGTACCTGTTTAGATGCACATTCTAAATGTAGGCACTTGAAGCAGTGTTAAAGGTGTGATTGGTGTGAAGCTGCATTTCTGTTGGTGTGATTTTAACACTACAAATGAGTGCAATTTTTTTTTCAATGTTATTGTTTTATTTCTGTAGATCAACTTTATACATCAGTATGTTTAAAGTGATGATCAAACATCCATAAACGTTTAATAGACACATTTTCATTGGGTGCACTTTTTGTCATCACGGACACTTTAACTGGGTTACACAACTACAAATATCTTTAATTACACAGCAGTCCAGCGACGCCTTTTCTGTCAACTTTACCAGTAACAGCTCAGGAGTAAATTACTTAACATGAAATTTGCAAGAGCTGATAAGAGAGCTCCATAAACATTAGTGTAGATAAAAAGGGAGTTGATGGTCTAAGTTTAATGATCTACAAGTTAGGAAAGGTAATGAAGCAATTCCACTGAAATTCACAGCAGCCACTGGATAATAATAATCTTGGTCCTGGTTCCTCCTCAGCGTTCTTGCTCCTAGAGAGTTTACCTTCAGCACTGATCCTAATTTTTCCAGGCCCTGAATAAAGCAAGTCATTGTACTGTATGTAACATAAAATGTGAGATGGTCAGTAAAATTGTTAAAGAATGAAAAGCAGAAAAAACTTTACTTACCTTTGGGCAGTTACTGAATATGTTTCCCATCCTGAAGCATAAATCACTGGAGCTTTGCTCTTCTAAAACTGATACATTGAGGTTTATTCTGAACTATGGAATTTCTTCTGTTTGAGCAACCTTGTTGTTGACTTTAGCCCTGTGTGGTGAATCATTGTCATCTTGCATTAAATCTAAGTGACATTTTGGTTTGAGTGGTGCTTTTTAGAAGAAATAAACACTCAATTTTAACATCATCTTACTTATGTAGCAGCAGTGAATACATTCAGTACATTTTAAAGAGACTTTTAACTGTCAATACAGTTTGTTTATAATCTGCTCAGTACAGTAGTTTTTCACTTTATTTGGAGGATCCAGGTTCATATCTGTAGACGTTTAACCTGAGAGGTCACTGAACAAGTAACAGGTCTAATACAGACCATCTCTGTTATAGACACACTGCTGATGCTATTCTGTACCTGGATCTTAACCGGATTAGGTTTTGGTTAAGGTTAGGGTTAAGATTAGGGTTTAGGGTTGAGGTTAAGATTAGGATGAGGGCCAGTGTACCCTGGTTTTGGATAAGGTTGGGTAAGGTTAGGTTTTGCTTAATGGAAGTAACATATTAAGTCCATTTCATGTAGCATATTAACAGTGATACATAATGTATCAACAGAGCATCTACAAGATATTTACTTCAGTGTATTCAGATGCTGCAGTACTGCTACTTCACTGATGTGTTGTTGATGTGGTGTTGATACTCTGCTGAAAGTTTATTAATCATCTACAAAGTACCACTCAAAATGTTAAATCAACATCAGTACTGATATTAGATTAACAGCTGTTAAACCATCAGCAAGTGAATCAGGCCTCTTTTCCACTGTTCCACTGACACAGTTCAACATGGAACACATACAAACCGTGCTCAGAGTGATTCTCTGAACAACGTTAGCTAACAGTGTTCAGGTCCACAGAACAGTTTGGTGGAAGACTCAAAGGCGTAGCTATTTGCTGATTGATTTTACGGTTACAGCGTTATTGTGCCGCCAATCAAATAATCAAATACGTTCAGTTCACTTACATGATCACTAAATAAATGAAATCAGTACATGATTTTCAATCCACCATGGAATAAATGCTAAACCATTTAGTAACAACTGCTAAATGTTAAAAGGCACTGAACGAGGAGCTGGTTAGCATTGCATAGCTAGCACACCACTAGCTCATCTTACCACCGAACTGGTCCAATCCTGACTCATAGAACACTGACACAAGTTTACATGCCAATGAGTCAAATCTGAGGAAGCCGAGTCGAGTAGGTGGTGTTGAAGGGACAGAAAGCTGAAATTAAACCCGTTCCATGGTTTAGTTGCTAACCAGCTCCTCTAGCCTAGTTAGCTTATCCAGTGGCCAACACATCTGAAAGGATAAAGGCTAGAGAATAAAGACTTTGAGAGCACAAAATTGAGTGACTGGTGTTGGAGTGACAGCAGGAATTGAATGTGTACTGTAGCATTTAGCCTGTTAGCAGTTGCTGAGCTTCTCTGTTGTAATTCTCATCAGTATTTCCAGTATTTCAACAGTATTTCCAGACACCGTAACCCATTTGAATCTACAGTGGAACAGTGGCCTGTTCAATTGGCTGAAACACATTTTTTTTAAATCTGTGCAGAAATCTATATAAAACTTTTACTCACAATAAAATATTTACTAAGCATCACTGGGTTGTCCAAAAGCATCTTTTAGCACAAATATGTTTTTAAATAGTAAAGTAAGCATCATACAGAATGCTCTCTTTACCAGTTATGATGATGTTAACATTTTATTCAGAAAAAATACTTTATTTCCATTCTTGTCATAGTTCTGACATTTGGTCTTGTAGCCTCAGCTCATAAGGATAAGGTTCATCAAAATATTTTGTGTTTTTAAGGCTGTGTATGTATAGCATGGTTACCAGTGAATTTACGACATCTGTAAATCTAATAAACATCAATCTGGCTGGTAGCAGCAAGAGCAAACAAGATGGAGAACGTGTAGCTGGAAGGAAACAGGATGGTTGCCAATAAAAATCATGTTTCAATCAGCATTGCCTCCAACAAGAAGAGGTGGGTGGGATCTGGGGTTTCTGAAGGGAGTCCAGCACTTTTCCAAGAGTATAAAACTACAGCACTTTCTCCACAGCAGGACATCTAATCACCAAATCACAAGAGGTTCCTCATCTTCATCTACATAAAGAACTACCTGCAGGTATGAACACATTTCTGAAAATGTACCTTTATTGGTATTTAACACTTTATACTTCACTTACTTACCTCAGACCTTTCTTTTATCTGCTGAAGAAGAGCCATTATGGTTCGTGGGATATTGCTGTTTGTTCTCTTCGTGGCTGCATCAGCTTCTGGTACGTTTCACCTGTTTCCTAACAGGATAATGCAGATAAAGGCACCACATATAATATAAAGTGACAGCCTGCATGATTATTATGTGATTGAGGATGACAATTTTTTTTCTCTTGTCTCAGATTTGGGGATAAAACCTGTATCAGGTAATGATGGCAGTTCAGCTCTTCAGGATATCCTTCAAATATAAAACCATTTTTAATACAGCTTTTGTATTAACGTCATTCTCTATCTGTTTTTCTAGAGGCTGATTTTAATGCATTAATTAAAGGTAAAGAACTGCTCAGGTCAAAGAAAATCACTCTGCTTCACATTTCTGACTTAAAACCTAAAATCAAGTTGTAATAACGAATCAACTGCCTCTGAAAAATGTAAAATGTTGCTTCTCTTAAACAGAACAAGTCAACAGCCCACAAAATAAAGCATCTAAGAGGTACTCATGTATCCCCAACTGTCCATATGGCTGGGTGAAGTTTGATGGACGCTGCTTCAACTACTTTAGTATAGCAGTGGACTGGGCCTCTGCTGAGGTAAACTCAGACAGATGAGCACGACCCTTAAAGAGAAGCCCAATCAGGAATTAAATAGTACAATAAGTGGAACTAGACTGAAACTGACAGCTAATTGTGTGCTCCATTTAAATATGACCTACAGTGTACATCTGACAGCTCTCACAGTCAAATGGAAAATTTATAATTTTAGGATTTGATGTACAATTTATACAACCTCATTTCCAAAAAATGAAATGAAAATAAAAACAAAAACAAAATGCAATGATGCAACTCATTTAAACCCTGTATTTAATTGAAATAGTACAAAGGCAACATATCAAATGTTCTACCTGAGAATTTTTATTGTTTTTTAAAAATATATATATTTTTTTTCATTTTAAATCTGATGCCAGCAACACGTTTCAAAAACGTTAGAACGAGGGCATGTTTACCACTGTGTTGCCTCACCTCTTCTTTTAACAACACTCTGTAACAGTTCGGGGTCTCCTTTGTTGTATTTTTCATTTGGTAATGCACCAAATATTTTCAATGGTGACAAGTCTGGACTGCAGACAGGTCATTTTAGCACCTGGACTCTTTTACTATGGAGCCATGCTGTTGTAATATGTGAAGAATATGGTTTAGCATTGTTCTGCTGAAATAAGCAAGGCCTTCCCTGAAAAAGACATTGTCTGGATGGCAGCATATGCTGCTCCAAAATCGTATTGCCTCAGTACATCTTAAATGAGCTCAGGCCCAGAGAAGGTGGTGGTGTTTCTGGGTGCTGTTTATATATGGTTTCTCCTTGGCTTTGTGGAGTTTTAACTTGCATTTGAGGATGCAGCAATGAAGTCTGTTCACAGTCAGTGGCTTTCGGAAGTGTTCCTGAGCTCATGTAGTGATTTCCACTACAAAGTCGTGTCTATTTTTAATTCAGTGCCACCTGAGGGCCCAAAGAGAGATTTCTCCAGATTCTCTGAATCTTTTATTGATATTATGTGCTGTAAATGATGAAATCCCCAAGTTCTTTGCTATTTTATTCTGAGAAATATTATTTTCCTACGAAGCCTTTCACAGAGTGGTGAACCCCTCCCCATCTTAAGTTCTGAAAGACGCTCTGAAATGTTCTTTTTCTACCCAATCATGTTACTGACCTGTTGCCAAACAACCTTCTTAGTTGTGAGATGTTCCACCAGGTTTTCAGCATTACACAACTTTACCAGTCTTTTGTTGCCCCTGTCCCAACTTTTTTGAAACCTGTTGCTGGCATCAAATTCAAAAGGGCATATATTTTGTCCAACAAAAAGATTGTTCTGTTTTAACATTTTATTATGTTGTCTTTGTACTATTTTCAATTACATATAAGGTTTAAATGATTTGTACACCATTGCATTTTGTTTTTAGTTTCATTTTTCACAGCATCCCAACTTTTTTGAAAATGGGCTTATATTGTTTTGTTTACAAATTCTGGACTGGTTTCTTAGATAGGGATTAATCCCAGTCCTGGACTAGACAGAATTCTGAATAGATATTATCTGTTTTGTATTTTATCAGTAATCCAGTAATAACTACAGATCTTCACTGTCTTTCCAGGCTTACTGTCTGACTCAGGGCGCTAACCTGGTCTCAATACACAGTGAAAATGAATATCAGATGGTGAAGGCTCTCGTCCGTGCTCACGACCTCAAAGAGAATCCTACATGGCTCGGCCTCTCCAACTGTCAGAAGGTAAGAAACAGGACGTGGTCCTGCAGAGGAGATAAAAGTACCTGCAACTAATGAAACATTAATGAATAGAGATACAATAATATCATAGGTCTTTGGGTAGTAGATGGAGATGCATAATAATATTGGATCTGTATCAGCAGATAATTTATCAAAAAATATTGTCATCAGACACATGTTTAGATTTAACAGATATTTCAAACTCATATTGTTGATGTATTTATTTTGCTCCAAAAGAGCAGTAAAATATGAGAGTTCACTAAAAGTGAACTTCACTGCATTTGTAACCCCACAAAATAAGTGTTATTCCTCTGTAATGCTAATTGAACAATGTTAATGTCTTTCTGATATATTTTCTGAATTTAGCCCACAAATAAGTGCATTTTGGCATACAATAAAAATTATAATAAACCAAATTCAGATGTTTCACATGCTTTCATTCCCAATATTTCAGCAAAGGGCACGTGTAAATATCTTCACTAAAATATGTAGTCTGATACTTTAAAAAACTTCAAATTTAGTGCATTTTTTTTATGTGAATGTCCGTTTGTCTCTGTAGAGGAACAGCTGGATCTGGTCTGATGGCTCCAGATTTGTGTACAGCAGGTGGAATAGAAATGAGCCAAACCATAACAATGGAGAGTGCTGTGTGCACATGAACTGGAGCTGTAAGTATCAGTTAAAACTTAAACAGAAGAAGAACAGAAGATACAGTGGTGCTTGAAAGTTTGTGAAACCTTTAGAATTTTCTAGATTTCTGCATAAATTTGACCTAAAACTTCATCAGATTTCCACACAAGTCCTAATAGTAGACAAATGTCCTAAAATTTCCTTTAAAATTTGCTGGTATAATTCAGAGTTCGTTGTTCCATCAATGATGGCAAGCCATCCTGGCTTAGATGCAGCGAAACAGGCTCAAACCATGATACTACCACCACCGCGTTTCACAGATGGGCTAAGGAAAGCAGTTTTTTCCTTTCTCCAAACATAATACTTCTCATTCTCACGAAAAAGATCTATTTTGGTCTCATCCGTCCACAAAACATTGTTCCAATAGCCCTCTGGCTTGTCCATGTGATCTTTAGCAAACTGCAGACGGGCAGCGATGTTCTTATTAGAGCGCACCGGCTTTCTCCTTGTAACTGTGCCGTGCACACCATTGTTGTTCAGTGTTCTCCTGATGGTGGACTCATGACCGTTAACATTAGCCACTGTGAGACAGGCCTGTAGTTGCTTAGAAGTTACCCTGCATTCCTTTGTGACCTCGCAGACCATTACATGCCTTGCTCTTGGTGTGATCTTTGTTGGTCGACCAGTCCTGGGGAGCATAACGATGGTGTTGAATTTCCTCCATTTGTACACAGTCTGTCTTTAAATTAAACAGGGTGGTCACTCACACCTGATTGCCATCCCATTGGTTGAAAACACCCGACTCTAATTTCCTTCAATTATCTGCTAATCTTAAAGGTTCACATACTTTTGCCGCTCACAGATACATAATATTGGACCATTTTCCTCAATATTTTTGTCTGATTTGTTTGAGTTGGTTCTCTTTATCTACTACTATGCAGAAATGTAGAAAATTCTTAAGGGTTCACAAACTTTCAAGCACTGAAACTGTGCTTCATTAAGTTCTGCTTATTCTCCTAATCCTGAACATTATTATATCAATTAGTTTTACACCTTGTTTCTCTTTGCCTACAGCTGAGAAGAACTGGAATGACATTCCGTGCGACCTGAAGTATCCATTTGTCTGCGTCAAGAGGCTGGAGTGAAACTCTGGAAGCCAAGAAACACACGGCAGAATTAAAATGCCTTAAAATTACAGAAGCTGGTAATCTACAGCTTTTTACATAATTACAGTAAAATGAACAAATTCAAGTAAAAACTCCCAATCATATTAATCAATGAATCAATCATACTGAAAATAAAGAGTATTTAACTATTTAGAGTATTTGGTGATTTAATGCTCATTTTTACATACTGAGACAGTGCTGAACATCTGAGTTGATCTTTTGAGGTTCACATGCAGAGATCTAACTCAGTCTAGGATGACCAGCTCAGCTGTCAACTAACCGGCTATCGGGCTAGTTAGGTTTTCAGTTGAATTATTGACTGAAGGATTCAGTGCAAAACTGCAACATATAAGGTATGTGAGTTTAAGGGGAATCCAACCAATTTTGAAAAATCTCTGCATGATTAAATGGTTAAGATGTAAACAAAGTCATTCAGAGTGGTTTGATGTGAAAAGCTTCCTTCTAGAGTCAAAGTTGTTCACAGTGGTGGTGATAGGAACCAGATGTCTCAAGAGTTTAATGCCTCTGAAAGCTCCCTCACAGAAAGTTATTACATGAAATGGTTACAAATGTGCTGCCTGATGCCTTAGATGTTTTTATAACAGTTTTGAAAGAAACTTTTAGCTTAAAATATAATTTCCATGAGACAAAATACTGCCAAAATTAAACTTCTTTTACATTTTTTGACCACTATCACCAACATTATGCATAAAAATTCAGAAGACTGGTGGCTTTGGCTAATTAAAAGGGATATATTTGTGCTGTAGATATCACCACATCTGCTTCCTGTCACCACCACTGCAAAGAAATCTGTCTGATGGTGTCTCCACACTTAATCAGTTCCCCTTTAAAAGTCTTTCAGAAGCTTCAGGCATCCACTTTCAGGTTACAACTGCCATAAGTAGCATTATGTCCAGTCTAAAAAAAAATTTACACACACTGCCTTCAGCTTGACACTAACATAACACTGCAAATCCAATATGGACTAAACACAGTATTATTACAGTATTAAAGGCTATTTGGATAAACAGAAGCTACTTATAGAGTATGGGTTTCAGCACTGCTGTATCATGGTCTTGCTTAGAATTATAAGATTTCCTCAGCATTCACTGCTGTTTTGAAATATTTTCTATCAAAGAAGTCATTTTCAAAACTATATTATAGTCAACTTTAATAGTTTAACAGTTTAAGTGATTTACTTGACATATTTTTGATTTCTGAATATTAAAATTGTACAACCCCAAATTAGAAAAAGGTTAGGACAGTGTGTAAAATGCAAATACAAAAAGAAAGCATTGTTTTCTAAGATGTATTTTGACTTGTATTTCATTGCAGACAGTATGAACACAAGATATTTCATGTTTTTTTGTGATCATTCAGTTTGTAAATATACATCCATTCCTGCCATTCAGGCATGCAAAACATTCCATAAAACGTCGGGATGGTTTGCTATTTAGGGTTAGTAATGAGGTAAAATAATTAAATAATGATGTCATTTCCTGCAGGTGATAGTAATTACGATTTGGTACAAAAGCAGTCCAGGAACGGCCTAGTCCTTTAGCAAGCCCATGAAAGGTGAAAGGCCAAGGATCACAAGTTTGCCAACAAATGTGTGAGAAAGTTATTGAAATGTCTGGAAACAATGCTCCTCAAAGAAAGATAGAAAGGGATTTGGATATTATACCCTCTATGGTGCAAAACATAACTAAGATTTAAAGAATCTGGAGAAAATTCAGTGGTAAAGGGTGAGGGTGCAAGCCTGAGCTGAATAACTGTGCTCTCTGATCCCTCAGATGGCCCTGCATCAAGAACGGTCATTAATCTATAAATGGTACAACCACAAACATGTAGGTGCATCAACAAATGCCAGGTAAAACTTTACTGTGCCAAAAGGAAGCCTTATATTAGTTGCAGTTGACTTATCTGGGCTCAGAGGCACCTTGAACGGATCATCACACAGTGGAAACGTGTATCGTGGACGAATCTGTATTTCACATCTTTTTTTGTGAGAAATTAACACAGTGTGGTCTGGACAAAAAACGAAAAAGACCATCCAGGTCATGCCATGATTGTGACTGTTATGAGTGTAAGGGCGGACACTTCCACACAAAAACAACAACAAAAAAAAAATTGGGCCAACCCTAAAATACTGATGGTTTTTACTGATGGTTTTGGGCTGGTCAGAGTCCAGATTTAAACCCTATAGAGAATATTTGGTTTCATATTAAACACAAACTAGTTTGGCACTGCTTTTCAACTGTTTGAAGCCATCAGTGCTGAGTGGACAAGGATGAAAAGTACCATCCAGAAGAGGGTGCAAGTGCTGGACTGGCCTACCTGCAGTCCTGACCTGTCCCCAGTAGCGAATGTGTGGCGCATTTTAAAAATGCAAAATGCAACAACGAAGATCCCGAACTGTTGCACACCTTAAAACTTTGCAGAAAGAATCAGACAGAATTACACCTGAGACACTTCATCACTTGGTGTCTTCCTGAACATCTTATAAGTGTTGAAAAAAATGAATGGCAACATTACAACATTACAGGTGGTAAATTCATTACTGTCCCAACTGTTTGGAAATGTGTTGCAAGAACTAAAATTGAAATGTGTTTGTTAAAAAATACAGTATAATTCATGAAGTAACACATCAAATAATATGCTGATGTGTTGTTTTCAATGTAATACAGGTTAAAAATAACTTAAAAATCACTGTTTTCAGTTTAAATTTTACATACATGCATACATACATATCATCCCAACATTTTCTGATTTGGTGGTATAGAATGTCTTAAATTATCCTCTGTCTGGATGGATTAAATGCAGATGGAACTTTTTCATTCTGAGAGCTCTCACTGTGTGATTTTTCATCCATGAATAAATTTAAACTAGAATGAAAACTTCACCAGACTGTTTTAGATACAGACTGACTTGTCATAAATACTTAAAATACTTGAAATATAGAGGACAACAATTGATTTTGGGGAACGTAATGTTGTGGCATCGTTGTATATCTTCTCAAACTGAGTGACCATTTCTCATCAGTAAACAGTATATCATTGATGTCCAACAAAAGTTCTTATCTCCAAACTTTACAGGCAAAGAACAAAAATGTTCTTCACTTTCAGTGCAAGTTAATGTACCAAGACCTTATTACAAATCATTTTGGACCATTCTGACACAGGTATTTTCATTTTTAAACTCAATAAA